CACGTTAAAATTTCCAGTTTAAAACTTATAAATTTTGAATTTTATTTGTAGACTTTGTCTTGGATGATGTATAGGATCATGACGAATCCTTCAGTCGAACAAAATTTGCTCAAAGAAATCAATTCGCTCATTACACCCACAAATCCCTTTCCCGACTATGATAGTATTAATAACCTTCCATATTCGCTGGCAACATTAAATGAAACATTACGATTACATCCAGCTGTGCCGCGTAATTTTAAGGTAAATGTTTATATTATTGATGTCTCACATATTAATGCCGGTGGTTTTTTTTTTAATTATTTACAACGCATATTAGACTGTAGTAGAAGACGATACTTTACCCGGAGGCGTTCCGGTATACTCTGGCGATATGATATTTTGGGTTCCATACTCAATGGGAAGAGACGAACGTGTGTGGGGTAAAGATGTTGACGAATTTAAACCTACGCGGTTCTTGAAATCGGGTAAATTTGTTAGGCAAAGTCCGTACAAGTTAATCGCGTTTAACGCTGGACCACGAGTATGGTTAGTATATGATTTACTTTTTGCGTTTATTTTCATTGTGTTAATTTTAAAATAATTTTCTTCATTAGTCTTGGGCAAGAATTTGCAACCGTTCAAGCATTGACTTTACTATCTGTAATGCTTAAAGACTTTCACTTTGAGTTGTTAACTAGTGAAAAACTGATTAAATATAGACCGTCAATTACATTGCAAATGAAGCATCCGTTAATGGTTAAAGTTACCAGACGCGAATGACTTGTTGTGCAGAGGAAGAAACATTAATTTATTTATAGATTTTTATATCGATATTATTTTAGGAAATTGTAATATTTTATTCTTTAAAACACTGTACTTTTCAATGTAATTGTCGGATAGATTTGACCAACTGAAAAAACGATAATAAATTAGCTATGTCCACGAATCAACTCTGTGAATCTAGTAAAGTTGGGAACTACGTACTATCGCTATAAATTCGAATATCTGATACATTTTTTAAAATACGGTAGTCGAATAAAATCCACTTCTATATTCGCGGTCCGGCATAGAAATTTGAAAAACTTGACATTGGAAATTACAAATAGTATTGCAAAAGTTGAAATTAACAATTGAGTAAAGTCTCGTCCTAAAATTTAATGTGTGAATATTTCGCTCTTACTAACAATGGCATTATATCTTTAGAGGTCTTATAAGCCTGAGACTGAGCATTCATTTAGGGAGTGTGTGCATTATGGAGGTCGTAATTGAACAAACACCAGTTATCGTTATCTTTATGGTTTGATTCAAAAAGATGGTGCAACCGAAAATTATAACGATAATACAATTGATTTTGTTCTTCCTTATGATTCATGTCAAAAAACCGGTTTTTTTTTACCTCATTTGCAATGTGTAAAATGTTTCACTTGGAGCTAACGCTAACTACATGCATTAACGTTAAGTCAAAATAAGAATTGATTATTTGACAGATTCTATTCCTTTGTTTTGGATTACAAACATTATTGGGCATTTACCAATACCGATACATGTATTCATATCGATATTCAGTAATTACAAAAGAAAAAACATTTTAAGTTCGATATAACGATAGTGGATGCACTATATCATATAGCATATAACGGACTACGTATGTACATGTATTTTCAGGAATTAATGTAACAGGAGGGTCCGCTACATCGGCTTGAATATGTTATCGTTATGGAATTGATGATTTTTTTAGGCTAAAAAGGACGCTATATACTAATGCTATTTGTGGTGATGTGAGGAAAAATAAGCCTGTTATTGGAATAAGAGGAATGTAATTTTTTTGCAACGTGAAATTGCTAATAATAGCAAAATTTTTAAGAACTTTGTGTTCAAAATGAAATTGCTAATACGTAATAGCAAAACATTTTAAGAACTTTGTGTTCAAAATTCACTAATTCACTATAAATAATAGAAGTAGTTAATAAACTATTTGGAGAAGAATTTTCTGTTAGAATCTATGGTTGGGTCCGAAGCTATTAAGATTCATTAGCATGAGATTTGTTTCCGATGAAATCCAACGCTAAATCATGATTGTCAAAATTATCAGAATATATGCTCTGGTCCGAAGTTGTTATCGGCGGCGATTGAATAAATGAATTTAAAAAATTCTCTGTTTGTGAAGGACTAGAATCTACGCTCGGGTCTGAAGTTGTTACCGATGATGGAGTAATTGGCTCAGATCCATTAACATGAGATGGGTTTGGCTCCGTAGAATATACGGATCTAAACAATGGAAAACTTGAGTATGTTTTCGAATGTTGATTATTGTTAACATCACAATCCCATGTCGAATTTGGAAAGTCCTCCGTTTGTAAAGGACCACGATCCACGCTCGGGTCCGAAGTTGTTACCGGTGATTGAATAATTGAATTTAAAAAATTCTCTGTTTGTGAAGGACTAAAATCTACGCTCGGATCCGAAGTTGTTGCCGGCGACTGAATAATTGAATTAGCACAAAGTGTAGAAGGTACTGATCCAAAATATGGAAAGTTTGAATTTTCCGACATGAATGATAAACCAGATCGAAAGGATGTATCCACCGTTAAAGATTTCGGATTTTCCGGAAGCCACATAAAATGAGGTGGAAGACATGAGGAAACCGATATTGATTTGGATGGATAATGATGGTAGGTACCATAACTTCGATGCCGCGTGATCGTTTGGTTTCTTTTTTTAACAAAAATCATTAAAGTTTAATTGAAAAACAATTTATTGACAAAAAGTAGGACTTACGTGGCAGCACCCTGTCTAACGTACGGATGCTGATGCTGCGTGATCTTTTGTTTTCTTTTAACACAAAATCAATAATGATAAAAATAATTTAATTGAAATTCAATTTATTGCATAATTTTAATCAAAAAACTAAGACTCACGTGTCAGAACCTTGTCTCCCGTATTGATCGTGATGGTGCGTGACCCTTTGGTTTCGTTTTTTAACACAATTAATAAAATTTAATTGAAATTTAATTTCTTGCATAATTTTAACCAAAAAAAGATAATACTTACGTGTCAGTCGACAGTTTCTTTTTTGAATTGTTTAATTGTTTGTATAATAAGGAAAAAACACAATGTAATTCATCATAATGACTTTTCCAGAAAATTTTGCAGATTTTAGAAATAAAGTCAACGTGATTAACTTTATCAAATAAAGGGCATGATGATTCTTTACAATGTAAATTTTTATCTGCTGAATTGAACAAACAAGTTCGAAATAAAAGAAAGCAATTTGATAACTTTTTCTTGATATCTTTAAGATTTCTAGTTATGAACTCTTCTTTGTAAGGATCTAAGATAAATTCGTGTTTGCAATAATTTGAATATTTAAAAGAGAGTTTAAATTTATTTCCGTCAATACGATCAAGAGAACAAGATGTCAGCGCCATAAATTTAGATGGACAAGTTGGACAAGTTGAACAAGTTGAACAGGTTGGACAAGTTGATACATTTGTTTGATGTGAAGATGATATAAAATTACTCATCTTTTGATAAAGAAGAAACAGCGATAAAAAGAACAACTCCTTGTTTTATATTGCATTTTTCCGAATGATAAAAAAACTAGTTTGTATATTTATTTGAAAAAAATTCATTACGTCGTCGTCGTATTGGTAAATTTTTATTTCTTTCTTAAATCAAACTATCACTATGTTCATACATATACATGTAATCATAATGCTTGCTATATTCTTCACCTATTTACGAATAGTGTTCAGTATTTGAAAGACATATTCTTTTGCAACACATTATATACTTCCTTTTTTTACTCAAAAATTTTTATGTATCCTTATAATTCGAATATGAAGTGGCTGTTTCTTGTTTTACGGAAATTGAACGGTTCATTCTTGATTATTTATCATTATAGCATAATTAGTATAGAATTTCCATCAACGGTTGAATTATTCATAACTCAGAAAAATTGGCTCAGTAATTCCTTAGCCAGTTTCCTTTGTTTCCTACTTTGATTGTTTGATTTCTTTGTTAGTGCTGTCCCACGATGATAACGGTAAGACACTCCGATTTTCGAAGATTCTGTGCGTTTATCGTTTTGTAAACTCCGAAATGTAGAATTTTGTATCGATACGTATACAGTACGTACGTATTGGTATCGATATACATGTACATGTAATTAATACGTAGCAGTACGTTGGTTACTTTTCAAAAGAAACTCCATTGTAAGTCATTTTACATTTGTAACATCTTTTTTTAAGATTGATAATTCAAGTGAAGTTTTTCTGAGACGTATCGGCATAAACAAACTAGTTTTTTGTCATAAAAATTGCGTATAAATAAGGTTTCCTTATGTTTATTTATTTTATTATTTTTGAAAATGAACGAGGTAGACTCATCTACACCTACGTATCATGAGGAAGAAAAAAAATATTTTGAGATGCCAGCGCTTATACATCTTAATATTAATAATGATGATAATAAGATAAAGATCACTTTCAAATATTCAAATAATTGCGAACATGAATTTAGCTTAGACCCTTACACAAATAAATCCATGGATAAAAATCTTCACTGCATCGAGAAAAAACCGGCAAACCGTTATATCTTATTTAGAAGTTGTTTTTCAAACGCAGCGTCAAAAAAATTGCCTTGTACTGAGCAATTGTGCCTTTTATCTACATTGTCTAAAAAGGATAAACAGCACTTTATATCACAATTCAGTTCACATATATATAAACGCTATGAAAGTGAACTTTTGAGTGTCTTTTCTCCATTATATGAAGAATTAAAAAGGTCTAAAAAGTAAATATCAACTGATGTGAGTCGAAGATTTTTTTAGTTAAAATTATGCGATTAAAATTTATTGATCTTGTATTAACAATAGAGAACAAAAGATTACGCGGAATCAGAGTTTGAATACTCATTCTAGAAATAAACCATATACGCTGGAACGGAGACAACGAGGTTATTCCGATTCGGTATTCTCAACATTAGCTCAACTGGATTTATTTGATACATCCAGATCAACATTAGACCGATACGCTTCATTTCTAGCAAATTCATCATTCACATCAGAAGCATCCTCAAACTTTCCACATTGTAGTTTAGTTTATTTTGCGGATACAAACCAATTTAATACTGTTGGATCTGATTTAATAATTCAGTCGCCGGTGACAGATTTGGACCCGAGCGAGGATTCTGGTGATACATCAGTTGGATCTGTTTCATCATTCACGTCGGAAACCTCCTCAACCTTTACATCTGTACATTCTACGGTGCCAAGCCCATTTCATACTGTTAGATCTGAATCAATGCTTAAGTCGCTGGCGACAACTTCGGACTCGAGCAACGATTCTAGCCCTTTACAAACAGAGAATTCTCCAAATTCTGTAGTAAAATCTTTCGAAGACCCAAATTCAACATTGAATTGTAACACAGATTTTGGCTCTCAGAATACCGAATATGATATCGAAGACAAACCTAAAAGCGTCAGTCTATATGTTCAAAATGAAGCCCGTGAAGGTAAAATTTATTAGTTATGCTACGGCTGAACACTGCTTTTTTTTTTGTTAATAAAAACAGTCTAAATTTCAAAACATCGTATACTATTTAATAAAACTAGATTTCAAAGGTCATAAAACGAACAATAAGCAACCTATTAAACACGTGTCGGAAGAATCAAATAAAAGGATGAAGATTTCATTTTTATCGAATTAAGACAATAGTCATAATGATAATCGATAACGATACGTCGGAAAATCGTCAAACTTTAAATGCTGATGGTAGCATTGTTTATTCACAAGTTCAATTACATGTATATTATATTCACAATCAAGAATCCAAATTCTTTTTTTATCAAATTCGTCTTGATTTCTTTCTATTCTGAGAAAATGGTTGATTTTTATTTTTTATATAACCAGTGCAGATCTATGGAAGGCAACAAAACAATAAAAAAAAGTCAAATTATTAGATTATTCTAATCTACAGTTGGTAATGTAATAATCAAGGTGTTCTGATATCAATTGAATGAAATAAAACAATTAATAAAAACAGCCAAAGAAAATATTTTAACAATCATGCCATTAAATAAAGCAAGTTTTACTGATTCTAATGATATAAATTTATTTAATCTTAGAAATATCAATCAAATTTATTGAATACGAAAGTTATTAATTTTTTTAAAATAGGAATTCTTGCATTTCTAGTGAACCAATTTAAATATATTTTGAAAGCTTAAAAGTTTATTATTCATTGTGCCATAATTACGTAGTACATGTAGATGCACATTCAATCTATGTGCACAGTGACCGTCAATTAATTCCAGAAAAGTCACCATTGGTATACCAGTCCAGTAAACCGTTGATATACTTGTACATGTCGATGCAGTACGTAATGGTAAGTTTTTCACTAATTAACCAAAACCATCCGTCATATCAAAGGTTGATGCGCATAATGAAATAACAATATCTTTGAAACAGAACAAAGGTATCTTGCTATTTCCTATTAATATGGACAAGCCATTGTTTGCGACGCTTTGTATTTTAAATAAAAGGTTAAATTGCAAAAGACCATTACTCAGTCACTTGAAAAATCAAATACCGAGACACAATATAAACCACTTGTCTTTAAAGGTCAGGATTTACGTGTTGCTTTTAACAAGGTTGAATATTAATTTTTTGACAAAGAAAAATTTATTGAATATATATGAAATTTTTACATTAAATAAAAGAAAAAAAGGAAGGTTTTTGATAATTTTTATTATACAATAATTATACAAAATATGAAAAGCAAATAAATAGCATTTCTTGTTAATTTTATTTTATATCACTTTTTCTTCAGTTGGTCGCGTCTTACCGTTTTAATTTGGTCGGTATGGCGATTTCGGTCCAGAAAAAAGTACATCAAGCCAAATAGTGAACAGGTAAAAATCAATTAGTTGAATGATATTGGCAAGGCTTTGACATCTCGTTCAAGAGATTCGGGTAATACCCGTAAAGATTTTTATGGCATTCCCAACATTCGCATATAATGCAATCTTCGTAAAGAGAAGCTGGAACATTAGATTGAAGTTGATTAAAAGCCAAATTTGATTCTGTTTGGTCGTAAAGAGAATCTGAAACATTAGTTTGATATTGATGAAAGACCAAATTATATTCCGTTTGATTGTAAAAAGCAGCTGACACATTAGATTGATATTCCTCCGTATTTGCGTACGCGTAATTCGATTTATCAGTTCGTCTCAGAGTTTGCTCGCAGGTGATGTGATTTGAGTTCTGTGCACGGTCTAAATTTTCTAAAATCGCCTGTGCTTTCTGTGCTATCACTTGATATTTATTTGTTATAGCTTTTGGCTCTGTTTTCCAAAGTTTTCCGCTTTTACTGAAAAAGTCTCTGCTAGAAAATTTTGTAGATCTATTTTTATTGGCTTTTTTTATTGCATACTGGTATACGTCAAAAGCACGTATTTCCCTTCTGCAATATTTAATTTTTTTATTCTTTAATTGATTATGAAGTCTATTGTCAGCTATTTCTTGAGGGGTTACAATAACGCTTTGGGGAGAGATCATTACGTATATGGCTTAAAATATATGAAAGATAATGTAATTGAAAGGACTTTTTGTTGAAAGATATTTTATAATCTTGATAAATTTGTTCTAACGGTTGGTAAAGTGCTTATTTATAGATAGAGATTGCTATAACTATTACTTGTTATAGGCTCCGCTTCAGCGACATTTTGTACTTGTTTATAGCGATAGACCCTGCTCCAGTGAATATTATACTTGTTTATAGACTCCGCTCAAGCGAATTTTGTACTTCTTTATAGATCCGTTTCAGTGAAATTTTGTGCTTGTTTATGACACCGCTCTAGCGAATTTTAATTGTCTCAAATGATTAAGATCTAATTTGAATGTTTAATTATGATAAACTTATTTCTCTGAGATCAAAGATGTATACATTAGGTGACACATCGTGTTTTATTTATCTTGCCGAATTCTTTTGACTTGTTATTTAGAAAATTGGTAAACTCATAATATGCGTAAGCATCAACGCCAACCATACGGTGTCTAAACATTCTTACATAGACCTCTTTTGTTTATTCAAAGATACATCAGCATATTTAATTGACATTTTTGGCTGCTAATTGAGAAGTATAAGCAGGGAGGGGTTTTATTAATACTAATTTAATAGAAAAATAATATAATTGAATCTAACAATATAAAATCAATAGAAACTATGCCAATCAGTAATAAACATTTTCAGACAAAATAGAGGAATAAAGCACGTTATTATATTAAATCGGATCTGTTATTTTACAACAGTTAAAATATTCTACATTACAAAAGAAAATAACAAGTTACACACCGTTTCCTTTTCTGTTGAAGCCAAGCATTTTTAAACAAAATTTTTTTTTACAAAGAAAAATTGCATGAATGTTAAACAAAATGAAATTATATCTTTCTTACATGAAAAGAAGAGAATTCCTGGATTTGAAGACGTAAACTAATTTCTTTGTAATAAATCTTATTTCTTGCCGCAGAACCTTATAAATATATATCTACAATTAAGTATGAAAAACAAATTTGAAAAAAACAATGCAAGAATTTCACCGGTAATTGCTATTAAATTTCCGACCGTAGTAATATAATATTTTCTATTGGGATCGTATGATATCATCGATTAATTGATAACGATAAGTCGATTTGTATTAAATTCCGCTGATCGTCATAACGATAAATGAAATACATGTACATAGTATAAAAAAAATTAAGTATCAATATGCCATTAGAGTATTTTGATAATTGAATCCTGTGTACAGATTAATTATAACGCAAATTGTATAAAATTGAATGACTCCAAAAAATTTTGAGCTTTTTGAACGTGATCAAACAATTCAAAATTTATTGTCTCAAAAACATCTACTAAATTTGGTAGTATTTGAATTTCTCACTAGCTTGTTATTGGAATGCAAGGTCTCAATTTTCAATTACAGTCAGACCTCTTTAAATGCAACCTCCTAAATGCACGCACTATGTTTACCCTCAATAAATGCACGCTCTGATTTAGTCACAATTATATGAAGCATTAAGTATTTTACACCTGTAAATGAAATTTTCTCTAAATGCACGTTATGTCTGATTTTTTCTATGTTTCCCGATGACTTGCACTTAGGAAGGTCTGACTGTATTAATTATACATTGACGGCATAAAGATATTTTAATTTCATATTAAACTGAAAAAATATACTGCAAATTTTGGCAGCATTTGCTTTTTTGCTAGCTTAAGTTACATTTAATTATTAATTTTCACATGAATCATCAAAGTATCTGGCAGCTCTATGAGAGCTATTGTTTAAGTAATAAATTAGTAATTGACTAAAATTACTATTGGTGTATGTATTACCGTCGGAAAATTTTACCTAAACATGTACATGTACGTATATCGATAAATCAGCTGTTCTGCAGTTAATGTTAACGTGCATTACTATCAAACATAGTCATACACTGCAATATACATGTACATGTATTTGTACACGATTTTTCAAAACTATGCATAACATTAAAAATAAAAACATATAAAATCTACCGTATCATATGTTTACTTAACATTAATCAATATATTAGAATAGAGAGTATTTTACATAAAAATGCTCTCAAAAATGGAAGGGTACTTATATACGTGAGGATAGTGCTCCAATCGGGTCGGGTCCAATCCGTGACCGACCTGTAATATTTCGGGTCAGTCTAAAAGTCGTTCAATATTAATTAAAATTAATCGAAAATTTGTAAATATATACACAATTACGTTCCTATTGTGCATAAAATCTAAAGTCATCAAACGTTTGTATTTTATAAAATGTATAAACTTTACTAAGAAGCAAATACAAAATTTAATCCGTGAATATGCTCAGAAAGGGCAAATTCTATCATATTCACGGATTAAATTTTGTATTTGCTTCTTAGTAAAGTTTATACATTTTATAAAATACAAACGCTTGATGACTTTAGATTTTATGCACCATATACTATAAAATTGTGATTGCACAAAATCACATGTACACAATTTGAAATTTTTCATTAATGGATGATTCGATTTCAAAATTTCGATTACATGTAACTAGTTATTATATTCGAATCCGATTATTATTTTTAAATCGAAAATTCTTACATTTTTAATTTTGAGGTATTATAATAGACTGTTGATATCAAATGTTTGTATTTCACTTCATGCGGCAAATTAAGGTATTTCTTTAGTTTTATCCGTTCGAATTTAATTTTGTGAGGGGGATAATCGAATATACATGAGAATTTTTACATGTATTTGGTATTAGCATTAGTACAAAATGTGATTCTTGTACTCGAGATGAAACACGGAGAGTATTCACTGCACTGATAGAAAGTCGGGAGCTATTAAAAAAAAACCGACCATATAAAGTTTACACATATTTTCAGACCTAGAAAATTTTACATCATAAGAACATGTATCCAGAAACATTAACGTTAAACATTCATTTGAACAACTTTCTTAAACAAATCTATTATACATGTACATGTAATAATTTTTATAAGCTCCATTACTTCTCCAACTATACGTATATAAAACATAAAATTTTTTTGATTTTTTAATTATTTTTGTTTTGAAATAAAATGAAAATGATAAATAATTTATATTAATAGGAAAGAATATAAAAAATTTTTCAGAAATATTAAAGAATGAAACTACCCGATGTTTGACAACGTGGTACCCTTAATAATATTTACAAAATTTTTTGAGGTGAATAAAGTATTTAAAAAACTTTGTGCGCTTTAGAATTTCTGTATAAATAATATAAATATATTAATGTTAAAGGACTTTGCCATTAATACAGATATCTAAAAAATTCTCAAAATAAACCGGATTTTCAAAGTTTGGTAAGCTTTGGTCTTCGAGAGAGCTCGATTCAACATTTGTGTTACGATCCAATGGTAAACTTTGGTCTTCGAAAGAGCTCGATTCAACATTTGTGTTACGATCCATTGGTAAACTTTGGTCTTCGAAAGAGCTCGATTCTACATTTGGGAATTCCTCTGTCTGTAAGGGGCTGTAATCCGGCGACTGGTGGCTTTCTAGCGCCGCCGCAAAATATTTTGGTCCAATTGACACCCTAACGTATGTTCCCTCTGATGTATGCAACAAATTTTCAGGAGCCACCATAATATATCGAGCTGACGTTAGGACCTCTGAATCAGAATAACTTCGTCGAGGATATGGCTGATACGCATAGCTGTTTCGTTTAACAGGGATGTCAGAATTCCGACGCTGCGTTAACTTTTCTTTTCTGTTTCTAACAAATTTTAATGGAAAAGTTAATTTATTGCATTAATCAAAAAGACGAAAAAAAGCTAAACTCACGCGTCAGTTGATATTTGCTTTTTAGAGCTTTCTAATTCTTTGTATAGCCGAGAAAAAACACCAAAAATATTTCTTTTACGGTCCTCACTTTGATGTATAAATGAACTTAGCTCTGAAATAAAACACTGATTATCCTTATTAGGGAAGGAAGATAAAGGACACGATTTCTCGGTACAATGCAAATCTTTTGATACTGCATTTGAAAGACAACTTCTGAATAAGAGAAAATAGTTGGCTAGCTTTTTATTGATCTTATTAACGTCAAGAATTTTCGTTTTGAATTCATTTGTGTGAGGATTTAAGGTAAATTTGTGTGCACAATCATCTGAATATTTAAAAGATAGAAGCATCACAGTATTGCTAATAAGTTTAAGAGACAGGGATGTTGGCATTTTAAATTTTTTTTCAGATGTTTTTTTCTTATTGTGTATAGATGTAGGTGGAATTCCTGAGTCGCTCATTTTTGAAACGCACAAAAATTAAAAAATAATATTTTGAAAGCAAAAAAAAGATCTTTGTTTTATACATTTTTCTGATAAAAAAACGTACGTAAATTGTTTATACTGATACGTGTAATTTCTCCGAAAAAAGATTTGTACAAACGAATTACCGTTATCTATAGTACATGTATACAGAAATAGAACTACAGAACTGTATACGTAGTCAACTTTCGATATACGTACGTACCAACATGCAGATACATGTACTGTATTATTCTTAATTTGGAGTTTACATAATGATAAACGCACAGAATCTTCGGAGATCGGAGTGTCTTACCGTTATCATCAACAGAATTTTTTCAGTAGTAGTATTAACAAAGAAATCAAACAATCCAAATACGAAATAAAGGAAACTGGCCAAAGTATCACTGAACAAATTACTCCAAGTTATGCATTACTTAAACGTTGATGGAAGTTCTATACATGTACATACGTATATGCAGGGCTGTCACTAGAAACTGCTGTAACTCTCCGAAACCATTAGAATACAGATCAAGTTACACATGTACAATATATGAAAATAATGACACCAAATTTTTATATTGAAGTACTATACATGTACTTGATGAAACGCAAATGAACATAATAAATTGGACTGTTAATGGTGCAGCATACTCCGGGGTTACTACAGGGGGTGGAAAAAAATATTGGACACTTTTATTTTATTAATTACTTTAGAATGTATATAATAAATTATTTTTAAATTTTTAAATATAATAGTTTATAATTATATAAACAAAATAACAAAATTTTATATTT